TGCTAAATTACCACAAAATAAAACTAAACTAGGTGAATTATCTTCCTTGCTAAATTACCACAAAATAAAACTAAACTAGGTGAATTATCTTCCTTGCTAAATTACCACAAAATAAATCATCACAAAATTAAACTAAAACTAGGTGAGTTATCTACCTTGCTAAATTACCACAAAATAAAACTAAACTATGTGAGTTACTGACCTTGCTAAATCATCACAAAATAAAACTAAACTTAGGTGGGTTACCTACCTTGCTAAATTACCACAAAATAAAACTAAACTAGGTGAATTATCTTCCTTGCTAAATTACCACAAAATAAAACTAAACTAGGTGATTTATCTTCCTTGCTAAATTACCACAAAATTAAACTAAAATTACCTTGTATTAAGGGGAAGGGAGTATTCTATTTATTACATCTTAAATCATAATTGAACCATATTTTTCTTTTTTTTCTTCAGATATTAAAGATTGTCATGTTCGATTGAAAAAAGTTTTAACTAATTTACAGGTAAATTTGTTCTTATCCTTGCTTAACATCATTTATTATTTAGGTTTTATATATTTGGTGTGGTTCTTCATTATTTTCAGTTATTCATTCATTTATTCATTCATTCACATTTATTCTTTTTTTCATTAATTTCTTTGTTCATTCATTTATTCATTATTCATTTATGTATTTATTCATTCATTTATTCATTCTTTTTTATTCATACATTTTTTTCATGTATTCATTCTTGCTATCATTTATACATTGATTCATTCAATCATTCATCTATCAATCAAATATGTTATTCATACACCCTGTTTATACTGTAGAGTATAGAAGATGAAGATGATTTAATACAGACTGTTATAACAGATATAACACAGCTGTGTGCCGAGAACGTTATACTATGGACCAAGTTTCTAGAAACTGTCACATTGGCTGAAAATGTACAAAGTTATTTAGCACAAGAGCATCATACAGCTAGAGTAAGTGTTAGATATTGATTTGAAGAATTTGAATTATATACTCAGACAGTTTTAATAGAAGTTCTATAGTTTAAGAATCACATACAGAATAAACAATGAGCCACTTTAGCAATTCAGACTATTTGCATGATATGCTGAATTGATGAACTTAGATAGACGAGCATATCTTGTCTTGCTTAAAGCA